CGGGAACAGATTAAGGTCGTATACTGAGGTTCCACTGTATTTCGATTTTTTAACCAAATGTTTGAACCATTTTAAATTCAAATTTCTTTTTGCTTATTGATTCAATTATAAATGATTGAAAACGTTCCAGAAAATTTATCAAATTAAAAACTGTTTGATTCTCAGCGGTAGGTGTTAAATAACAATTACTATGGTTGTTGAAATATTGAACGTAAATAGGGTTTGCTTGCAAAATCTGCACGAGCAAAGCTGCATGTAACAGCTAATAATATATATATATAGTGTGTGTGTGTGTGTGTGTGTGTGTGTGTGTGTGTGTTACTGGCTGGCCAAACCCAATTTCAGGCCAAACTAGTTTATCCTATGCATGTCAGGATATACTAGTTTAGCCTAGGATAATGTAGTTTGGCCTAAATACTTTAGGCTTAACTAGTTTGACCTAGGCTGAACTGATTTATGTACTACAAATAGGTGCCAGTGTAAAAAAAATTATTTTGTAATTTGAAATGCCACTACAGTGGCATTTCGAATTAGTGTGTCCACAGGGATCCTGTTCTGGACCCATGTTTTGGTCAATTATATTAAATGATCTCTTGAAAATCAATACATTATCAGAATCAAAAATAACATCTTTTGCTGAGGATATAATGGTCATCTGTTCAGCAAAAAGCAGAAAACAAAAATAAAAATGCAAAAACATACTGGATAAAATAGAGAAATGGGGAAATGCAAACAAACTTAAATTTAATGCAGAGGAAACAAACGCCATAGCCTTTACAACATGCAAAGTGACAAAAAGGCAACGCACAATTAAAATGCAAAATAAATCAATTAAATGCATAAACCAAATCATCTATTTAGGAGTAACAATAGATAACAAACTTTTCTGGAATGAACACCTAGAAACAATTAAGAAAAAAGTGGGTAACCTACTTCAAGAAATAGCAAAGGTAGCATGTAAAGAATGGAGTATAGGTGGAAGGGCTTTAACACTGTATTCCTTTGCTTCTGAATATCCGCAGCATGTTCTTTCAGTCTAATCTCTAAGGATCATTTGGTGGAGCCCACATACACAAGGTTTCTATCGAACAGAAAGTATGTTTGTCCAAAAAATTTTTCAGTTTTAAGTATTTTTTTATGTTTAATTACATTTATATCAAAAATTGCTAGGAACTAAAGCAATTAAGGTAGATCTAGCTGTCCTTTACATCCATAAATGTTATATGTTAGCGGAACAAATGGAGTGAGCTTTGAGCGTTCCACGATTTTTGGAGACTGTCCGTACGCGGGCTTCCTAATCAAGCCTATATGTATGTTTGTCCAAAAAATTTTTGGACGAAATACAAACCGCACAACTTCAAAATCGCATACTTCAAAATCGCAAACTTCAAAATCGCCTTACAGTATATTAGTATTATTAGAATATATTACAGTAGAACCTCAAAAACTCGGCCTAATGTGGACCGAAGGGTGGCCGAGTTTGTGAAAATGCTGGGTTATCGGGAATGGAGTTTAAAAAAATAAGTACGAGTGTTTCCTCAGAAAATACTGTACTGTACTTGTATGTATTGTTTACTTGAGAATATAACAGAGAATAAACTGCCCAAATACCCTTAAACAAAGGAAAAGTACGTCCTTTATTAAGGCATAGAGCCTTTACTACATGAAAATGAAAATTAATGAATACACTGTGTACAGTAATTTACCTGATAAGAGAGACCTCAGAAAAATACTTTATGAGAGCTTTTATACTTTTATAAAGCTGTCTATAATAAAAATTAATTAACTAAGGAATTTTTGCCCTGCCAGGGTGTGGCCGAGTTATCCGGAGTGCCGGGTTATCGAGAGCCGAGTTTTCGAGGTTCTATTGTATTAGTATATCTGAAGTACAGAGCTCCCGTTGGGATTCGGCTTGCTCCCTTGTTTATTACGTACATCACCTCAGTGAAGGGTATTTACATTTATTCATATGTTGTGCAAATCATGGCTTCTAAAAAAACAAAGATGATTTCAATTGAAACAAAGCAAGAAATCATCAGGAGTGAAAGCTGACAAAAACTTCCTTGTCAAATGGGGAAAGGTTCAGGAGTTTACCAACACTCATTATCCAAACACAGTTGAAGCCAACAGGATCAATGATCTCTATAATGACACCCTTGCCTGTCGTTTCCAACAGGTGTTGAAGAGAGAGAAACAGACAACCTTGAACAAGTTTTTCAAAAAGCCAGCTGCCCAAAGACAAAGGATGGAACAAGAGGAGTTGACCCTGAAAGCCCCAGTAGCCTCTCCTGAATCTGACTCCGATTAAAAAACAATAAAAAGAGACCTGCTGCAATGTGTAAAATGTCTATCTGTATGAATATGTTAATAAAGTGTTCTTCCACCTTCTCACAACATCTGACTACCTGGCATAATTGGTGACTGCTCCATTTTCATTTTTTTGATGGTACAGTATGATTATTTTATGCTGCGGAACGAATTATATGTTTTAACATGTATTCCTATGGGAAAATGCGTTTCGTATAACAGACTTTTCACTTAACAGACGTGCACCTGGAACGGATTAAGTACATTATACGAGGCACCACTGTATCTGAAAATAATTCAAATGTTAAATATTTGAATATTGGAATTTCAAATATTTAGAAATAGTTTAGAAATATTTATTAAGAAATAGTGCTTTTCCATTATTTCTTATGAAAAAATTTTAACTTGTTTCTAGTCCATCCAAAAAACTAATTTATCAAAATGACTCAAAAAACATTGCAAAATACTTATTTGTCTATTTATGATTTTAGCATAATATTAAATAATAAAAACTCCAATTACTTTACTAATAAAACAATGATGTCATTTTAAAGGTAAGTTTATAAGAAGTTGTCATATTCTAAAGTAAATCATTTTTATTAATAAATGGCAGATAGACCCAGCACTGCCTAGGCAAAAAGTAACAACAAACATTAAAATGAAATTATTGTTAACAGTTTGAAATGATAGGCTAAAATAAGCAAACACTTCATGATAAACATGTGTTAAATAAATACAATAATACAAAAAAGAAAGTGTAACAAAAATAGAATAAAAATGACAAAAATCTACTTAAAAAAATCTTAGTTAAATTCACATTACAAAATAAATAAACAATCATTAGCCTCAATCTAAACCAAAGATTCATGCTCAGCACCCTGGAAAAATCCCAAATAAGTGCTTGCTAAGATACTATACATAGATGGTAAAAATGGTGCAATTTTATTTGACAAGTAAACAAAAATCTTTGTTTTTCAACAAAAACTGATGAACAACTTCCACCTGCATGAAAAGACAATTCAACTCATTCAAATATTTCTACTGTTAACTCTAATATACAGTACCATTTACAGCAGAGTATGAAATGATAAGCAACCAATCAAATTTTGCAGAAGCAGACCAAACATTTAAACTTGACACCCTCAAAAATCCTAAAAAACATACTTTCTGCTTGCTGGTAAACTCTATTATGTAATTTTCCTATTCATATGCTGCCATCATACTGGTTAGATAAAAAAAAAAAAGGGGGAGTGATCTGTTGCAGGTGGGGATTGAAGTTAATTTGCTCAATAGTAGTCATTGACCTTTTAGATGAAAAGAATGTCCCTGAAAAGTTTCATTGCATATGCTCAAACCATGTTGAAATATATAAAGAACAAACTAACAAACTTTCTTATATATTATATAAAATGATAATTTTGAACTCATTATTGGGCTATAACACGTCTAATATGTTAAATATACAGATATTATGTAATTTGGACTAAAAGTTGCTATCTTGTATTAAATTTAGTATTTAATATTTAATTAATTTAGAATATTCTGAAAGAAAAGATCAATTCAACACAGGACTTGAATCCACAACTTCTCACCATGTAGATACATTACCAATTATGCTCCCAAGACCTTCGTCTGATCTTTACTTTCAGACCAATTAATTTAAAAAGATTCAACCTTACAGGTCACTATCACTGTATGATCATATTTTCATACAGTGACCATAAGATGATTAAGCTTTTACCTTGCATGGTATAACCATACCAAGCCAAAGTAAAAGCTTAAAATTGGCCAAATGCAAGAGAGCTGTGGATGCATTGTCATTCCCAGTTGGAGAAGTGTGTGACCTGTTGGTTATATCTTCTAAATTAATTAGTCTGGAAGTGAAGATCAAAGGTCTGGGAAGTGTCATTCACAACATATCTGCATGATAAGCAAGTTTCCTACTTCAGATTTAGAATATGCTAGAAAAAAAATAATTCTAATTATTAAATTTAATACAATATGGAAATTTAATTGTTTACCTTTAGTCCTTATATACAAATATTATATAATTTTCACTAATCTAATTAATTAGCCCAATAGTGAAAACCAGTATTATCATTTGAATATTAATATATAATTTGGGCTTGGTTTACTATAAATGATTATTATGTTTAATATATAAGGAGTTTGGATACAAAAATATAGCTACAGCCTGTACTCACTTTGTATAAGGTGACTGTATCAGCTACAAAATCAGTATTATTTAATAGTTACATTTCATATAAACTCTATTAATAATTAAATTTATCTTAAATGATCTGAAGCTAAAGAGATGATATAATTGTATGTAATGTCAAATTATTCTAATAGAGTCAATTCGTGTTAATACAAATCACTAGGGTAACAGCAGTTAGTTTGCTTTATCGAAAACTCATTAATCATTTTTAGGATCAAGGTCACATAATTTAGGGAGTTAAGGCTTAAAAAGTGATTGAAATCTCTAAATTTTAGTAAATTCATTAATCATTTTTAGGATCAAGGTCACATAATTTAGGGAGTTAAGGCTTAAAAAGTGATTGAAATCTCTAAATTAAATTAAATTAATTAAAAATACTATTAAAAATCGCAGCTCGGCATTGTGACGATGTCACAATAAATAACTGCTTGTTACTGATAAAAACAATTTAAAAATTAACAGGGTGTTAATTTTTACATATTACATACGAACCAAAAATTTCGTGTTAAATTCGAAGTGTGATAAATCGAGGTTTTCCTACAATGGAAAAATCGTTAACATGAACGTTTGTTTAATCAAAATGATAATAAATATTCTTACGTAATTTTATAGCTAATTCGCCAGTGAAATAAATTAAAACTATCGCTACTATTTACATTTGTTTAATGTTTAAATGAGTCTATTTGCAGATATCCTGCTGATATGACTGGAGATCAAGTAATATTGTCTGCTTTAGAATTTGGAGGGGTAAGTTTGAATGAAGAAAATATGATCCGAGATTCCAACGCAATTAGGTTGATGTACGCATTGGACCGCAGCACGAAAGAAAAGAAAGAAATGGCACTGAAATGGGAACAAATGTGTTTAGATACTTTGTCAAAAATTAATTTGAACGGTACCAAAATTTCTAAACTACTAAGTCGCTCTGTCGAAGACGAAATTGGTCGAACAGGCGAAATATCATTGCCTCTTATTTTCATTATGGCTCCAATTATGCTGTTATTTTCATCAGTTTCTTGCTTATCAACTGACTCTCTCAGTAGCAAACCTTGGATGGGTATTGCAAATTGCGCATCACCTTTTTTAGCAACTGTTTCAGCATTTGGTCTCCTGTGTTACTGCAAAGCGGATTACGCAGCAGCAAATGTCATGATTTTTTTTCTAATTTTAGGTATGTTTTTAAGAAATTTTATGTTTTAAAAATCTGACAATAATCAAATAATGTATAAATTATACGTTTAGGGTATTTTTCGGATGTAAACCTAATTACTATAATTACATTTTCGGCTGTGTTATAGGCCTATACAACAGAAGAAAAGTATAACATCGTTTAAAATTTGACCGTCTAACAGATAACCTTACTGAAGTTAATCGGGAAAGTTTCGTAACTTTCCCAGTTAAACTTTAAAAATACGTTGCACCATCTGTTAGTAAATTTTATTTTTAAATATATACTGTATGTTATTTAATATATTATTACATATTATAAAATATAAAAAGGCTTAATTTTGCAATGTAATTGACGTCAGTAAAATCGATTAAAAAATTTTTTATAGCTAATAGCTAATATTTCCGCAAATTTAGTAAATTATACTTTTCGTCATAGCGTAAAAAAATATAACCAAAATTTTATTTCGAGAAGACAAAAGTAATAAGAGTTGTAGGAAATTCAAATAAACACACACATACGATCTCTTTTATATTGTTAATTAATTATACAAAAGAACAAGTAACTAATGTGTTAAAAATTTAAATTAAAAGTTCTAACACTCATAAATTTATCCTAGGAGATATTCTACTCGGTTCATATTATAACTTGTAACTGGAACTAACAAAATTCTCACTACATACGATGTGTAGTGAGAAATTTGAGTTGTGCGGTGGAAACTCCATATTTCTGTAGTAATTAATTTTTCGATTGCGAGTTTTTGTAAGTATTTTTTCTTTTGGTTAAAGTTAAAACGTTTATCTAATTAACACAGTATAGAAACCACGAAATAAAGAAGAAATATTGGTAGAATTTACCGTTTGTATCAAATATATACGAGAGATAAACATCAATATTATCATTTAAAGCAATAAACTACAACAACAATTAACTCAGAGTACAGCAAATTGTATGACATGCGAGCTCAAAGTACGCACACAGCGTGTCTAACGATTAAGGTCAAACGATGATTGAAGTTAATAAATTATTCTACGAATATAAGATTTGTATTATTCTAATTATTTTCTATTTATAAATTTTAAACATTAATGACGATTAAAATATTCATTAAGACATATGAGACATGACCACTTTTATATCTTCACCCTGTCGACCTTTCATTAAGAACCAAAATTTAATAGTATTAATGCCCCTTTATACGCGAGCTACAGTGCCACATTTCGTTTCTTAAACTTTACCCGTTCTCAGATATTGTTTAATATCTCAGAACAGAAAATAAACAAATTAAACAAACTAGCTGCCAACACATACACACGCGCGAATTTTTCCCCTTTACTGACTTTTTTGAGGGGTTCGGGAGGTCTCCAAACGTGTAGATTTGCAAAAAAAAAAAAAAAAAAAAAAAAAAAAAAAAAANATTTTATCTGGTTGTTTGAATCGCTCTTACGTATTGCCAGGAGGAAAGACAAATAGCAATAGGAAAAGCAAAGCTTTTGAGTTAATTCCAAAATTACATGGGAGCCCAATATAAGTTTTAATCCGTTCCCATGTGAAAATAGATGATTATTTAGAAATTCGAAGAAACTCATAAGTGTAATTGATGAAGAGTGAATTCAACTGTTAAGAATTGGCAAAACAGGTCCAGCTTTACATGAACAAATTATGTTGTCGATTTTACAAGATTTTTTCCTTGAAGTTTAAGATGTCAGTAATTTTTGCAAGACAATGTGTGCATTTATGTGCATTTGATATTTTATTTGTTATTAAATGAAATAAAACTGGAATTGTATTAATAAATATAATTTTCTTTATTTTGATCATTAAAGTCACACCTCGTCCTATATGCGAGATCATCTTATATTCGAGTAAATATGGTATATACATATATACAGAGAGTGAGTAGATAAATTTAAAAAAAATAGAAAGTACATTTATATTCAATGTTGTTTGATACAACAATAAATATTATATGAGGTGCAATCAAGAAGTTCTGAGATTGGGAGTATAAAAATAAAACAATGTACTTTATTTAATTTTAACAGTCATCACCTTCAATATTAAGTGTGGGAATGTAAATTGGTTTTGGATGGGCCAACTTCCTTAGTTTATTCTGCTCTTGGGTCTGCTGCAGAACATCTTTAGAGGTTAAAGCATATTGTGTCGGTACAACTGTTCACACTATCCTTTATAACAAGAAGATGCATATCTACCTTGGAATGAAGTACCATCTGCAAAATTCATGCTGAATGTCTTCTACCATGACTAAACAATAATCCTTCAACTTGAATTTCATCTTTTGGAACAAGTTGTTGTTGCAGGGTGCCAGATCTGGCAAATACAAATGTTAGAGAGCACATTTTTAGCACACACCAAGACCACAATGGTTTTGGTGTGTGCTAAAAATGAATGCAAGAAGTAGCAATGTCATGGTAGAACACCAATTGCCATCATGCCATGACTGATGTCTTTTGCATAGAATGTCCTCTGTCAGACACCTCACATCATCACAGTAGAACTCAGCATTCACTGTTTGGCCAATGAGAAACAAATCCTCAATGCAGAATCCTGAAAATGACAAAGAAAATGATGAGCATGCTTTCAGTCATGTTTTTGACATAACTTGTCTTCTTTGGTCTTGGAGATTGCAGGCACTTCTGCTGAAAAGATTACTGTTTGGTTTCTAGGTCATAGCCCAGCTCTCAATGATGATCCTGGAGATGAAAGTTGGGTTTTCACAAACATGATAATGGCAGTCCTTGAAGACCTGAACAAGATGTGCCTTCTGCTCAAGACTCAGGAGCCTGAGCACGAACTTTGCTGCAACAGAGCACATGCTCAATTCAGACATCAAGTTTGTCTGCACTATTCCATCAGTACATTGACCTTGGCAACAATGTCACACTTAAAGCATAAAAAATAAGTAATGCCTGAATGTCCTATTACAGAACAATCAGAAATTTTGTGGCAGAAACATTCTTGCCTCAAAACTTCTTTTCAGTTAGGCCTTCTACTGTATTCAGGGAAGAAATTAATTGAATATATGTGACTGGTAAATATACTGTATTTACTGATTATTTGATAGAACAATTTTGATATATATTTGAGGATATAAGAATGGAAACCAATAATCATAACAATAAAATTATGTGATAAATTCTAACATATCTAAGTATTTTGTAACATAGAACTCTTAAGACATGGAAATGTGAAGAGAATCAAATATCATTAACTATCCACATAAAAATTTAAACAGAAAATGGTTTTAAAGTTTATTTTCATATTTTTTATTGTATCTTGTAAAATCTACTCAGCTTATACTGGTATGTTGTGCAAAACTAGACCAAGGTCAAGGCATAGGAAAAATTGTATTTTGTTTATATTTATTGTGTTGTTTGTGCATGTATCTTATATTCAAAACTTATCTGACTATATGACATGTGTTTAACATAGTAGCTTTCTGTAATGTGATGATGTGTGTTGTGAAACCCTAATGTTCCTAAACTTGTGTGTAGTGTATATGGTATAATTAACACCTGTGTAGGAAATTACTACAAATACAATAAGTATCCTAATCCTATCCATTTTCCAAGTACTTTATTTCATTGTATTGTAGTTTGATAAGCATTTGCATCTTTCATAAAAAAATCTCAAATTTTGTGTGTTTTGTTTTTTCATTATTACTTATTTTATAGTTATATTTACAATAAAGTGTAATAAAAAAAATGAGACTTCTCATCATCTCAAAACTCAGAACAAATCATTATTTCAAACATGAAAACCTGCACTGCATATTAGTGAGTATCATGCTTTCAATGATTACCTGGAAATATGGATTATATGAAGATTTTTGTCTTAATTCTAGCCCTTTTCTGTGAGATATAAGCTGTTGAAAGTTATCTCCATGAAAGTATAATAATAAACTTCTTTCAATTTAATTATCCATCATCTTCAAAATTTTTATTTTTTAACACTTTTTGGCAGTAAAAAGATATATTTTTATTATTTTTATCATAGAAAAAAATTGTTCAGATAGAAATGATTACAAACTAGTTAGTTTTATTGTGAGAGTTATAAAGCTATATTGAATTATTTTTTTTATTATTATTATTCTAGATTAAAAGAAATTAAGTCTATTCTTTTATTCTAAACTGTTCTAAATACGCTTATATAAAGATCAACTAAATTCAAATTTAAAATTTAAAAACTAAAAATCAAAAAGTTTTACTGAATATTCATTTATTTTTTTAAAGAAATTAGTACAGTAATTTCAATAATTCAATTAAAATATTTTTATTAATAAAATTGATTTTAATTTTTTCAATGCAACAAAATTAAGTCCTAACATTACCTATATATTTTATTCGTATTACCAGAACAAAAAAAGACTTCAAATTATCATAATTTTGATTACATTTTAAGAATAATGATAATTAAAAATATAAACAACAAAGATTACCAATTAAATTCTTACAATTTGCATAAACATTTTAATGAAAACAGGAAGCTGAAAAAAAAGCTTATGTGATAATGATGAGGAAACGTCATCCACATATCCTATTCAATTAGATTTTGAAGTAATTTACATATATTTTTTCCCCTCCTTTTTTGAAATCTAGCATTATATCAGCTTTTTTCTTTTTAGAAAAATTTTATATTTCTTTAAATGGATCAGATTTTCAAAGTTCTGTGGTGTGAAAGTGTGAATTAAATCTCTGTCATTTTTTTTTTTTTTTTTATTAAGGAAGAAAAGTGTGCCACATTCAATTATCAGACAACATAATAAAAATGCTTGATCACAAAAATTTGATTATGTTTTATTAAGAAATTACATTAAAATTTCATTCACATGCACATCACCACTCAGAAAAAAAATGAATAAAAACCATTTGCAGATATTGATTAAAATAAAAACAAAATGTCATCTTTTGTAAAAATGTTGCCTGGAATGTACTGTACAACATAATAATGAAAATTAAAATAATGAAAGTATTTGAGAAAAATTTTATTCATTCAATACCAGAAAGCATTGTTTTATACACCTATGTCTAATTATTTCAGTTGGCATGCAACATTTATTCCATATTCATTTTATTTTATAGCTTTAACAGTTTTATTTTACAATGAATGATAGTATCACAATATGGTTTTACACAATATACAACATCATATCCAATATAATAATTATCTTTAATGTTCAGTTGAAAAAATTTATTGATCAAATTAATTTAGAAATCATAACATGCAAGCAGTTTTATCATCGTGAATTCTTATTAATTTATAAAATTGAGAGACATTCCTGTTATTTTTTATTTATATTTATTTCATAGCACATACTAATAATGTTTGTAGCAAATGTTCAAGAATCTGAACCTGATGACGCCTACTAATTAAATTAAAAATGTTTATTAGAAATTAGTACCAGATTTTAAAGTTTTATTTGCTTATTATTATTATTATTTCATCCAGTTATGCAGATATCAAATAATTCCATAAAATTCTAAGGAGATACTTTGATTCTATATTTTATTATTAAAAGTTATTAAATCAAAATTATATTTCATATAAATGTTAATGAAAAAATAGTCCTTTTTGATACTGAAGATTTAAATAAAATTGCAGTAACAATACCGTTTCCTGCAGAAATTTAAGGTTAGTGCAATTTTATTTATTTTTTAACACTTAAGTGTCATTTTTATTGACAACTTAAATTAATCCCTAAAATATTACTTATTAACAATTTGATATTTTTAAAATAAAAATAGTAATATATGATAATTAAATAGAATATAAGTTTTTATTAAAACATTTTTAATCTAAATAATGAAAATTTGAACAATTGTATCAAATTACTACCAATTATTCAAGAGGAATAAACTGGTTAATGAATTAAAAATATATAACCAACCTTGAAAGCCAGTATACAACTTTATAATGAATACAGTACTTTTGATCTTACTCAGAATATACTGTTAGCTAACACTATATTCCATTATATATTAATATGTGGATCTGAACAGGGGCAGATCTACATAGGGACTAATAGGGCTTAAGCACTGGGCCCCCAAGTGTCAAGGGCCCACAAAAATTGATTATCATCATAAATTTTTAATACGTTTTCATTAACAACGAGCACTTATCGTAAAGTAAAAAATAGTTAATAGGTTCAGTTCGGTAAAAATAGGCCCCATTGCACTTCAATAAGACTTAGGCCCTGAAAAACCTAGATCTGCCTCTGGACCTGATGATGATCTGTGTAAGATTGAAAGTATTTATCATATAATACTAAGCTGGTTTTGAAAGATTGTTGTTAATTATTATTATTAATTGACAAAATCTGTTAAATATAAAAAATAAATTATTTATTAACTTTACATATACCTTATTTATAGTATAGATATTTATACTATCTATAATATAAATACTATCTATAGACATGCAAATATATCTAGACAAATTCTCATAAATTTTGAAAGTTCAGATGATGTTACTGCTAACATACTTTCTTGATATGAAATGAATAAAAATACAAATCTTGTATTATTATATTGTTATTTTCGATGACAATAAATTAATTGGCCTATAAATAGAAAGAAGTTTAGAAATCATTAATATTATAATTGCCAAAATGCCAAGATATTTTGGTATTATAGTATTGATTGTATCATTACAATAAATTATCTATAATGACAAATTATTCAGAAATTGTTAATAGATTTTCCAGTTAATCAGCAGTGTAATCTGGCATAAATGCACATTTTTAATATTCAGATTTTGATTAATATTAATTAAACAATAAATTAATTACATTTTTTACATTTTGATTAGTAAAAATTATAGCATTTAACTTGAGTTATTAAATAAACTGAATTAAAAAATTTATAAATTAAAATTTTTCAGGAGCTTGTTTATTTTTTTGTTTAGTCTTTATAGACTAAACAAAAAAATAAACAATAAAGTTTAAAATAAATTTTAAAAACAAAAAAAATATAGTAATAATAATATAAAAGCATTAACAAGCAAAAACTAATTTATTCAAATAATAAAGTACTGTATTTCTAATTTTTGTTTTATAGACAACAATATTTAAACAAAAGAAATATCACTTTTGTATAAACAAAAATAAATGAAGTTTATAAGATACAATAACGACAGTACAGTATTAATTACTAGCATAATTACATCTATATTGTTCCTTAACACTAGCATTAAATCAAAAATTTTGCAGAACTCACTTTGCTCAATCAGAAGTGGAATAATAATAAACAAATTAAACATTTTTATTAAAAAATTAGTATAAATTGGAAATAATAGTATATATCTTTTTATTATAATCACAAGAGGAATAATATATTTATTTTTTACCACTATTGGCAAAAGAATGTTTAAACAAATTACTTCATTGCAGTTTATCATTAGCCAGTCATCATTATATTGCATAATAATATGTAAAAAACATTTGCCTTTATGATATAATTTCTGTTTAATTAAGCAGAAAAGAATTAGTGTTATAGTTATTGAAAAAGTTTCTATTTTCATTGCAGGTAAAGTGTTGTGTATTTTTGTATAAATTTTAATTACTAAAAATTTAAAAGATTTGATAAAAAGCCAACTTTATGAATGTCAAACATGAGCTCGATTTGAATATCTGACAATTACTACTATAATTATTATTTGTTAAAATTTAAATAAGAATTACATATAGCATTAGAAACAGAAAAAGGATTTATTTTATTATCATCATCTAAAAAATACAGTAATTTCATTCTCATATGATTTTTTTTCTCCATGTAATAAGCAACTAGACCTAGGTTACATTTACTTATCACATAATAATAATAATTTTCTAAATACAGTGGAACCCTGCAGTCAAACTAATTAGAGTGAGGGTCATCAAAGTTCACAAAAATCTGAATTAGCAGAGTTTTTTTTTATGTCATCAAGAATGAATATAATATGTAATTAAAAATCAGTCCATTTACATAAGTTTCATTATGACTTGAATACACCCATGTAATTTACATTGTGCTTTCAGAGTACACTGCATATAAAATGGCATAGATATTGAAACAATTAATATTACTGTTAACAACGATGGCTCACTTGGAATCCAAAGACAACAAAATGACACAAATGACATCCTGTACAAATTCCATCAGATGAAGTGTGTGATGATATAGTACTGTACAACTTGTATTGGTTGAGGAGACCATAGACAAAAGAAGCTGCTAATTTTTGTTCAATTTTTTAATTTAACTTTTCAAAATTTTATCCTATTTAAGCAATGTCGAACATAGCAAGGATTTACTATAGCAATTTATTTTCATTTATATTAAATTATTGTTATATTTAAAAATTTTTGATAGATTAAATAATTACATTAAAAAACTTCAGAATATAAATATCAGAAAGAGATAAAATTTAACAAAATTTTAATTATCATTCAATATTCTAAAAACAACTATTCAGTTGTTCCACAAAAACTACCAAGTAGTTGTTTTTCGTCTCTTGTAGTAGCAATGCTAGCTGATCATCATAACACTGTCTTGGATCTAATCAAGGCTAGAGTCAGGTTTGATTTCCTGTAGTTTTGTAAACCATTTAGAATAAGACCAATAGATAAGTCATGCCTGATGTTTATGTATTTTAATGTCTCTAAGACAATTTTATGATTTCTTCCTTAGTCTCTTTTCTCAGAAATTTGTGCTTACAATATAAAATAATTTAAACTTGCAAACAAATCTTTTCTGATAAATTCAATTTTATTACTATGCAATACCAAACTCATTAATTTTAATGTATGTACTGTACATAATTTTTTCTCAATACACTTGAAGATTTTGTTAAATTATGTCTTAATTCTGCAAATTAATCAGTTTTTAAATCTAGTTACTTTTTAAATATAATAATGAAAAAGAAAGAAGCATTTTATTATACTCTGTTTTATACTTCGCTTCTACATAAATACAAAATCATAGAAATTTTGCCAAAACAAAAAATAAAAATGAAATACTATAAACAGAATTAAAGCAAGTAAACAGTGAAAAATAAATGATAAAACTCATTTCATTTGAAAAGATCAATAAAATTTTTTTCAATACAAGCTATGTACAAAAATTTAAACTAGATATAGTAGTGATAAATGAATAATTTATCAATCTATAGTAATTATTAAACATAAACAAGCAATTTTAATAGAAAACAAAACAAAACAATTCCATACTGAATTACAACAACCAACTTCTAAATATTAAAATAAAACAAACAATACAATTAACATTATATAAAATTACTTTTTGTAGTTCAATGTCTCTTAACAGTCAAAAGATTTCATTAGCCCGAAGACGAAGGCCCCAAGATAGACCCAATTTTATGAGGAAGTAGGTCTAATTTACAGGTACATAAATGCATTATATCATGGAAAACATTTATTTAACTTCTATACTTTATTAAAATGCTTAAATTAACAAAATATTTCAAATAAACACGTCGATAATTCGATAAATAAACTAAATTGAAAGCAATCTGGTTGGTCTCTTTAACTATCAGCTGAATCTGCCCATGTGGGCGACTTCGTACGAGGTACGTTCCTTAACTTAACGAGAATCGAAGCAAACTTATTTTTCAAATATTAAACGTAATTATAATAATAAAACATTTACGTCTAAACCGTAAGCATTCGGGTCCCCTCCTAAATTTCACTTTTTCATTATAATTATTTAGGCCTAACGTCCCGTGTATACATAACCGGGAAAAACATATGAAATTTTTCTCTTTAAGCCATTCCGATTTATTTAATTGCAATAACTAAACGTACCTTCACCTATTTTTCTTATATTCGACCGTAATTATCCAGGATTTTTGTAAATTTCTTCTACTTTCTGCAAGTTCGACGTCCATCACTTACACCAACAACCACAACAAATAACCGACTCCATGTTGGACGTTTCTATTCTTCCGTTCAATTATATAGTCCGAGAAACGAATCTGTAAAAACGTAATAATTATCGTATAAAATTATTTCTTATTAAATCGTATACTTAATAGACGTAAAGGATAATATCAAAGCCGATTTTTTTTTAATTATTAAGCCGGGAAAATAAAAGCGTAAAAGTGTGCCTTTTTTTATTTTTAATGTAGCACGTGACGTCACGCAGCGTGCTTCTTTTCAACGTTGATGAGGATGATCAGAGAAGAAGGAATGAACCCTTATCCACTTTTAGAAGAGAAAAAGGAAGTCTTTTGACATTTTTCCGACATTTTAAAATCAATCAGAACTTTAAAATTGCTTTGTATCTAATTGCACGAAACACGCTTCTTGTTTACTATAAAATATTAAAGACGTTGAAATTGCATGAAAGAACGGGCTTGTAATTATCGAAAGTATTGATTTTCTTCTTGAAAATTGTTAAAATGGCGGAATCGCACTATATATATATGAATTTATAAATTGTACATAAAAATGGTCTTAAAAATTATCTATTATTTTACCACTTCTATAATCTTGGTATTGCTCAATAAATGTTAAAATGTTCTTTTATAACTAAATGTCAAAAATATTGTATCATTTATCATAAAAAGATCTGAACGATTTTTATTGATGATAAGTTTTTTACACGCAAATTTGTTTACATTTCGACAATGATTACGTAGATTGGATATTTTAAATATATTAATACTGCTTTGATTAGAGACGAATTCTATTACTGAATTATGAAAATGTCGGTGTTATTTTAGACTTTATATTTAGGCTATTATTAAAATAGAAATAATTTAATTAAAAAGAGAAAAAAAAATATCGGATGTAATTTTAAAATTAATGTAAAAATCATTTCTTAGAATTTGAAAGAGTGTTTCTATTTTTGTAAAAAATATCAATAGTAAACATAGTAAATCAAAGATATAGAATTTGTATGATGTTATGTGCTGTTATGCAATACGTCTAGAGATTATCGACTTTCTATTATCAGTTTAAGAAATATTTATCATATTAATTTTTATTTTAAAACTTCTATTTATTATTATTTCTTTAATATATAAACCTAACAATTTTCATTAAAAAAATTCAACATTATGCAATATGGCCGATAAAAACAGATAATGAGATTTAATTCTTTAATTAAAAAACAATTGTTTTGAGATATTTTATATTTGCAAATGTATCAATAATTTTTTTTCCTATTATTTTTAGATCCATCAAGATTAAAATATCTCAATGAGAAGTTTTGAAGTCATAACTAAGCTAGAAAATATAACAAATAGCATATAATACATTTGATTTCGTAAGATATACGTAAATCGTATAACATACGTGTTGAATTTTAAATGGTTTTTATCTACCAGTACCGTATTCAGATATCATTCAAAGATATATGTTTTTAATAGATAAATCAAATATATATATATTTGATTTATATTTATATATACATAAAAAGACATTTCAGAAAGAAAAGGTATTTTTATGTTTATTATACTTTATTTATTGTTAATTGTTGATTAAAAGTGTATGCATCCCCTCTGCTGTCCCTAAATTTCAATGTGATCTACCACTACGATTTAAAATTAATTTTTTATTATACAGTATTCAGTAAACAGAAATGACAGTAAGCTTCGTTGATAAACAGCAACATCATCTAATTAGTGATAATGATCATTAATAATTTGTGCTATGTATTGTACAGTCTATTAGGCTATTTTAAATATTCCTTTTATTAAAGTTATAAATAAAAAAAATTTTTTAAATTGTTCGTGTTCTAAAAGATCAAACGGCTTGTAATAATCCTGTAATTAATTATAATTTACTTTAAAATTTTTTTAACTGTACAATTTATGTAACATTAAAATCTGTTGTTATACTTATAAATTAACATTAAAACACGAGTTATAAACTATAAATATATTTTATATACTTTTCTGTATTGATTATAATATTATAGATCTAATAATTTAATATATTTACACACTAAACAGCCTTATGAATTAAATATAAAAATTAAGGTCAAATTTACACCGTGAACCAACGCATATAACTTTTACACAGAGAATTATCGCAACTAATTCTCTTCATTTCAAGTCAATTTATTTAATTCTTTAAGTGCGGAATGACATAATTATTACATACCGAAAAAAATTAAATAAATTTCTTTAAATTTAATTTTATGAAGCATTAAACTTTCATTATTTAAAAAAAAAACAAAAAGGTAGACTAGACAACATTCACTTCTACTAAAAGTCACGATTTTCAAGGTTATTATAGGTGCTAACTTGTAAGATGGCATAACTTAAGCATTAAAGATAGAAACGTCTGGAAAGGAAAAAAAAGAAAAAACCAAATAATAATAATAATAATAATGTGAACATTTTATTTTATTTATACCGTAAATTTAAAACGAGCCAACTCGACATAATGATATATTTAATAAATTTATTCCTCTGGATAACGTTAGACAGAAATGGTGAATAATTATTGATCGATGTTAAAATTATTTTTTTCCCTTTACGCCTCTATCGCTATGAATGTTTAAGATCTATGCAACATGTTTACTGTGCTTTTCATTGCTTAATCATGGCATCTGATGAATATAAATATATTATCACCGAAATACATCTTTACGTAGTAATTTCTCAATGTTCTGTATTATAAAATTGGTACTTATTTCTTAATAAAATCAATAATGGAGTAAGTAATGTAACACGTTTTAAAAAAAGCGTTCATCAGAAAAACACGATAGAATTTAGAACCTTTAATTTTATTTTATATTATATCTGTATTGATTGTTAAAATAAATTTTATAAAATTGAAAATGTAAACAAAAGTTAAATAAAATTAAATTTATTTACCCAACACACACTAGTATTTCGTTTTAAAATTTCACTGCAGTCTACATGTATTTAGTTATTTATATAGGTATATATACTAGGGGATGCCCAACTACCAGCTTTTTTCACTTGCTCACATCATAGGCTTTGTCCAGTTGTTTCCAATATAGACTATTCACAACAAAATTTTAATAACATGTATATCTTCATGTTTATACAAAAAGACAAGAAAAATTTTACAATTTCAAGTGACAATTCCATAATGTAAAATAAGTTCATAAATATTTCAAAATGCTCCTCCACACACAAACAACTGAAAAAAAAATGTTTTTTTTTATTAAAATCAGACAAACTTTTGGATTTTTTCCATCAAAATCAAACATAGGACAATTTTCAGATTCCAGAACAAGAAAATTTTTTCAAATCACTCAAACATCACAGATCATAAGTTTTTTTTTATTAAATATGTACAGAATAATATTTCAATCTCATGGTTACATGATTCACTTTGTTCACTTGCATCACAGACTTCACTCCCTTGTTCCAATACAGACCATTCACAACAAAAATTTCATGATGATTCAAGCCCCTTCAAGGGACAACCTCCGTGCACTTTGCTCAACCTCCTGTGGACTGAATAGCCAACCCTCCCAACCCCATTCACTTCACTCCCTCCTCAGCCCAATCCCATATTCCTGCTTTCTTTGCTCAACCCAATCACTCACTTGCTTTGTTCACTTGTTCAAAAATATTGTGATGATTCATTGATTTCTGGCACTACTATTTCTATTTTCCCTCAGCTGTTGTAGCAGCCAACTCAATCATTTGTCCCACAGACTGCCCTCATTCCCAATAAAGTTTATTCATAATAAAAGTTGTGATAATCCATTGACATTTCTATTTTTTGTTTTTCATGACAGAAAAAGTGTTGTGACAATTTTAAGTATTTCATTATATACACTGTATTTACTCACATATAAGATGAGGTTTTTATCCATTTTTCACTGCTTCAAAAACCTAGGTTGTCCTATATGCACAAACAAAGGATTTTTTTCGTTTTTGTATAATTTTTGTAAACTATGTAATCGCATATTTTACCAGATTCTCACCTTCTGGTGTTTAAAAACAAAAGTATTTTATCTGGTTGTTTGAATCGCTCTTACGTATTGCCAGGAGGAAAGACAAATAGCAATAGGAAAAGCAAAGCTTTTGAGTTAATTCCAAAATTACATGGGAGCCCAATATAAGTTTTAATCCGTTCCCATGTGAAAATAGATGATTATTTAGAAATTCGAAGAAACTCATAAGTGTAATTGATGAAGAGTGAATTCAACTGTTAAGAATTGGCAAAACAGGTCCAGCTTTACATGAACAAATTATGTTGTCGATTTTACAAGATTTTTTCCTTGAAGTTTAAGATGTCAGTAATTTTTGCAAGACAATGTGTGCATTTATGTGCATTTGATATTTTATTTGTTATTAAATGAAATAAAACTGGAATTGTATTAATAAATATAATTTTCTTTATTTTGATCATTAAAGTCACACCTCGTCCTATATGCGAGATCATCTTATATTCGAGTAAATATGGTATATACATATATACAGAGAGTGAGTAGATAAATTTAAAAAAAATAGAAAGTACATTTATATTCAATGTTGTTTGATACAACAATAAATATTATATGAGGTGCAATCAAGAAGTTCTGAGATTGGGAGTATAAAAATAAAACAATGTACTTTATTTAATTTTAACAGTCATCACCTTCAATATTAAGTGTGGGAATGTAAATTGGTTTTGGATGGGCCAACTTCCTTAGTTTATTCTGCTCTTGGGTCTGCTGCAGAACATCTTTAGAGGTTAAAGCATATTGTGTCGGTACAACTGTTCACACTATCCTTTATAACAAGAAGATGCATATCTACCTTGGAATGAAGTACCATCTGCAAAATTCATGCTGAATGTCTTCTACCATGACTAAACAATAATCCTTCAACTTGAATTTCATCTTTTGGAACAAGTTGTTGTTGCAGGGTGCCAGATCTGGCAAATACAAATGTTAGAGAGCACATTTTTAGCACACACCAAGACCACAATGGTTTTGGTGTGTGCTAAAAATGAATGCAAGAAGTAGCAATGTCATGGTAGAACACCAATTGCCATCATGCCATGAC